TATCAAAATAGGCTATCCCTGTAATCCTGGGAGTTTGGGAAACCAAGTGCTAAATATTTCCTTGAAATCAAATCCATTCCATACCTGGTCAGGATTGTGTGTGAGTTGTCGCATTTCTGTTGTCAATTGTTTGATTACCGTCCCAGTTTCATCTATTTGTAGACAACAGTTTGAAAGATTGAATATTCCACAGACACCACCTTCTTTCGCCAACAGATAGTCCAGGGCTACCCTTTTTTGATATACAGCAGTTATGATTTTGTCCATAGCTTCTGATAAAACATTAAGAGCCTTATCTATTCTTTGTCTAGCCAAATCCAGAACTGCCTGGAGTCTTATAATATGATTTAACATGTATATAGGGGTTCGATATCCCCAGGACCCATCTTCAGCCCAGGTAGCCCTTCCATATGTGCACACAATTCTTTCAGAGCTCCACACATCCCTTCTCTCATATTCAACTAATTCTTTACATGGGAAGTTCGAGTTACATGGGTTTTATCCATCCCAACACATATGACCCAGACCGGTTTTTAGGTAGAATTTCATATGCTAATTTACCACAAATCCAATAGATGTTTTTAGGAGCCATCCACTCGTCTATAGATGCTGAGTGTAAATAGGCTAAATATGTCATACACTGACCATCCCAGTGATTTCACCACCCCATCAATTACTCTCTCCACTTTGATAGTGATATAAGTGGTTGGGTCTATCCCCTGTCCATCTATGCCAAAACCATAGGTTATCATAGAAGGGAGAGATCGGACAACCTCAAGGTGTATGATGTTACCACTCCCCTTCCGGAATGATGTTTATGATTAGCCTTATATGCTTCAACCCATTTCCTGTCCCCACATGGCCTACTCTTTCCTTTGCTTGTGGCTGTGCATTCATCGAATGTCAGAGTGAGTGGCTGTTTGCCCTGCTGTAACTGCAACATGTGATTTAGGAAATACAATTTACCTTCTCCTTCTGGGTTATGGCATATCCCAGCCTGCGGTACGCCAGTCCACAAGGTCATGTTAAGACGTACAGGTTTATTGGGATTGTAGCAGGTTGACTTCCCTCCAATCACACACAAACTATACATGGTCTTGTTGTGTATACAGTTGGTATGTAAGCATTTGCTGTCTTTGGGCATTTGGGTGTTTATGATTTGTACACCTATTCTAGCTTTAGTAAGGGGGCACAGTGTTCCTTTGGAGCAGACATACGTTTCCTAGGCTCAACGGCTATGCTTCGAGTGATTCTAAAGTGTGGAATGGCATGTGAAGCTTGCTTTGGTATTCCTCTAGTAGTTCGATGCCTACCACCTTTGGTAGTCCTCCCCTTTACAGTGCCACTCACCGGGTTGGAGCGGATGATGCAAGTCCCTTCCCAGCCTGGCCTTATAGTCCAAAGGATATAGTCCAAAGTCATTTTCAAGTGAACCTTAATTTCACTGGATGTTCACTTGGTCGCATAGCACATTGCTCTTCAGCAGCTTTCTTAACGCGGGTCCAATGAATCCAAGTCTTAGATTCAGCTATCTTGATGGCAAGTGGAGATGACATGATTACAACATAAGGACCCTTCCAACCCCCCTCCAACTGTTCTTTTTTCCAATGCTTTACCCACACTCTTGTCTCCTGGTGTAAAATGATGACATTTGGTCACTAACCTAGGTGGGGACTGTTCAAGAACATACGTTTTGAGCATTTCAATTTGCTTATTCAGCTCTTGCACCATTTCCATGGCCCAAACCCCAAACCCCCACCCCCCTTTATGGCCTAAATCTGGCCAGCCTGCTATGTTCCTTCTAAGCAGAGTAGGAAGGTGACCAAACATCAGCTCATATGGTGAGAGTTTATGCTGCCTCCTTGGTGCACTCCTAATTGCATACAAAGCAAGTGGCAAAGCATCTAGCCCTGACTAGGGTTAACCTTTGCACATGTTTCACACTGTGTTGTAACCTTCCTTGCACTACCTGCCAACCCATTCACATAATATCCCCTCAGTATTGCAAATCCCAATGCTGTCTTTCCCATATGAGTGGCATTATGGGATAACTGTACCAATTGCCAGGCCATAGAGGACGGTACATATATTCTTCCATCTGGAAGAATATACCACCCCTCCTTCACTACTGCTCCCAAACATTTACTGCTTTATTACAACCGGACTGTGAGTATGATGGCTTAATGCTTTCTGGTATTACTCCCAAATCCATTGCTACGTTGACATAAAGTTCAGGCAATGGTTCTATTTTTAAGGCTGCTACACAGGCTTCCACATCTGCAGCCTGAT